CGCTGAAAAAAACAAGCCGAAACACTGTTCCGGCTGATTTGTTGTGAGAGAAAAACAATGTTTTGGATGAAAAAACAAGCTGAAAAGTACGGATTATAAGACAAACGAATGGGGCCATAGACTATAAAATTGCGCGATGGCTACAAAACACTGTCCTCAATCATACCAAGGGGCAGAGAAAGAGCTACCATTTTTAGAGAAGTCTTTGTAAAAGATATAAAGTATGCGGACTTGCATATCATGGCATAGTTATAATATCTGTACTTATGCTACTCACTGTGACGTATTCATTATAGAGCATCACCATGCATCTGAAACAAATTCTTTTTGCTGTTGACAGTGACAATGATCTCAAGGTGACTCTATGGGGTGATCATGCCAAAAAAAACCTCAGCGTTGATCATGTCTACAATGACACTTCTGTAGGAGCAGTGGTAGCTTTGTTTGTCGGTTGCCTATTGTCGGTGTTTTCGGACCACCGACGAGTAAATTTGTATTTGCGCGTCTAGCTCGATGGTGTGCTCGGAGGACACAATGGTTTATATTGGTTCGGACGGAACGTCCCTACGTCCAGTTCGCTGCTGCTCGTGTTACCGGCACTTGGTTTGCAGTAGGGGCTACAAACAGGCAAGAGAGTGAGAGGGTCTCAAGTCTCTAGTGGAAGGAGTGAACGGGTGCTGAGAGCTCGCTTGCTGCTCAGCCGTGTGCTCGTGTCAAGATCCCCCTTTCATGGGGTGTCCCCTTCCCTTTTATAGGCGAAGGGAAAGCGCGGATTACAGAGGAAGAAAAGGAGAAGAACGGGAGAGAGAAGGCTTCTAGGGTTGTCGGGTTCTTCTCCTTCATGCAGGTCCCACCGATCCTGTAGATGTTAACAAGGACGGCTCCATGTCGCGGGTCTGTTCGTCACTGGCGCCATGCGCAAGTGTCATCTGTCGGTCATGGCGTTCCACTCCGTCCCGTGGACGTCGTGGTGAACTGACGCGCCTGTTAGCGTCCGTATGAGGATTAGGCAGAACAGCACCGGCACGTCCGACACTGTTCTTGATGTGAATCCCCAGGGATGGTCCGTCATGGTCACGGGTTACATCGAGGTGTGCCAGCCTTTTCTCTGGCGTCTAAGTTTTAATCCAGGCCCATACGCTTAGACCTGGAGTAGTTGATAGTGGTATGGGTCCCCGTCGGGCGAGACGGAGTCCGCGACTTTAGGCGAGACGGAACCCGCGTCCTTGAGGTCGGGCGAGACGAGTCCACAACCTCGAGGTCGGACGAGACCTTTTAATACGTCTTGAGCCATCCGGAGAAAGTTAGCGTGGGTGCTATCTTTGCTTTGGGTATCCCTAATATCGATATCCCGACACCTACCCAGAAAGATAAACAGTAAGCATTTCTTCTCTATGAAAATGTTCCTTAACAAAAGCCACCGAAATAAGAGGAGGAAGAAGTGGAGGGGAAAGGGCGAGGAAAAACCAATTTTCCTTTGAAACACAGATATAACACACCACCTTACGGAGGCAGTGTCTGTCACTACTACTTTAATCCAAACATCAAGGAAGCGCAGCCGTTTCCCTCCAGGTACCATGAACACATCATAACTTAAACAATGTATATTAGTTTAATTAACCAACATCCCTATATTACACCTCAGCAAGTAATACTTCGTAGTAACAGGCATCTTTTTCTGTGAGCTTAAGGCAGTAAAGAATATGCTTATTCAGTATTCTTACTCTCTTTTTAAAAATTATACCGGCCCCGTTCGGCTTGCTAAAACTTGGCTTAAAGTAGCTGAAAACACTGTTTTGGCTTAAAATGTTGTGAGAGAAAAACACTATTCCGACTGAAAAAGAAAGCCGAACAAGCCGGATATAAGGTAAACTGAACGGCTGTTAGCGGTGCCACTTACCACTGCAATAATCAGGCTCTATAACATATATAGTGCAAAAATAGCTTCTGTTTCAAAAACAGTACCTTACTGTATTTTGAATATCTCAGGTACCATGCCCTCTTTACAGTGCTTATACCAATTCTCAGTAGACACCTGTTAGTAGTACATACCATAAGTTCTTATAGCTATTTGTAAGCCATTTATTACCAGGTCCAGTCATATATCTGTCAAATTTATACATAGTTTAATTTAATTGTACATATGCAGCTACTTCAATCTTTTTTTTTTTTTATCCCCAAAAATATTTCCTCGACAAGCTTAGGCATGTGCCACACTTTAAATTTCTGTGATATGGAAGCTTGAACAGCGCTTTTCATCATAAATACACGTTGTTTCATAAGACCAGCAGGATTGGTATTACCTAACAACTGAACAAAGAAATTTTCATATGCACATTTTTAGTTTACCTTTCCTAAAACAAAAACAAAAAATGTATGTCATACATGTCGTATACATATCATTAAACCACTAAATTTCTCTCTTTTACGCCAACAACGCTTTATTCGAGGTTCATGAATTACTAGATTTAATTCTCTGTTTCTGGCAACAGGTTACCTTGACCAAGAAAACGAGCACCTAACTATTTTGTGACATATACATTCACTTGATCCACGGGAGGAAAATGGCTGATATGTCCGGTGCATGTCAAGCTTTTTAGGTTGTTAAGGGTTCCAACAGCACCGTAGCAAAAAATTGTACCTTATAAACCAGTTATCTTTCTGATGGACCTCTTGTGTGTATGTTAACTAGGTAAATGTACCCTCTACTAGCGTAAGTGTGACATACTCTTTACCACCTTCTATTAGCTAAAACCACGTGCTCCTTGCAAGAACTTAGATGCTTATTTATTCTCCCGCTGAAAAACATATGTATGGCTGAACCCGTCGCAAGTGCTGTAGTAACAATTTCATGTACAGTAAATGTATATCCTATGGTACACTGTAGATTACCAATGGCGCTGCCTGTACTTTAACTATGCTGTAAATCTCTGTCAGTGAAGGTGCCTTAACTATGTAAATGATCACACCTATGGCATGTTCATACATAAAAAAAATCTGACCATAGTTCTTTGTCCTCGCGAGCAAGGGTGCACGTCCTCCCCTAGTATATCTCAGTTATGAATGAACATTTCATATAAAAACACTTGGACTCATCTGTTTGTAAGTAGATCAGGTACACTGATTGGAACCAAGTTGGACAAATTAATTGATCCAAAGAGGAAACAGATCACCAAAGCTCAGCTTATAGTTTATTGCATCACAGCATTGTTACTTCTATTCTATGTCATCATCGAACCCCAAAACCACACCGAGAACACAGACCAACAGCCATACCCCTCAGCAGAACCCTCGATCCCAGCAAGCCCCAACCCAGCAACGAAACAGAGTGCTTCAATGCGGCGTTAGAATAACTAACCATCCTTCCCCGCGGCGAGCGACACGGCGGCGACCGCGAGCCCGCAGCGGGCCACGGGTGAGGCGGCGGTGGCGATTAGGGTGCGCGGAGGGAGCGTGAGCGGCTGCCTGAGGCGGGGGGAGGAAACGATGAGGTGGCCGCTGGAGCCGAAGATCGCCGGCGTCATCGCAGGTGGCGCACGTGTGATTGGGGTGCGGTGGCAGTGAGGCGGATGGGTGCGGGAGTGCGAGCTTGGATACTGCCGTCGCCGGACTCAGGATACGGATTTGTAGCTAGGCAACAAAAAGAAAAAAAAAAAAGAAAACTTTGCTAGAGTCCTCTGGCCGGCAGCCGGCGACTACTGTCCGCATGTGTGATTACGGACTCAACTACGTAGAAGGGGATCAAATCGGAGAGTGAAGAAGCGAATCCGGGGGGAATCTTACCTTTGCCCTTTTCTCCCGTCCACACATGCGACGAGCATCCACGCGCGCCGACCTGTGTCGAAAATAAAGAGGTCTAGCACGGAGTTTTCTCGATTTAAAAAAACATTACGGTTTTATTAATACTGTAGGTTGTAAAACTCTAAATTATTTACATCCAAACATTTTTTTTCTTTCGGATACTGGGGTATTTTAAAAATCCACGGTATTGATCTAGAACTAAAAAAAAACTGAGTATCCAAACAGAGCCGCCTCCAATATTATACAGAGTCTACCGTTATTTTCACCACCATCGTTGCTGCTGCACTTGATCAATCTAATCACGAGTCAGAAGCCACCGTCTCCATCCACGACGACTTCCAGCCGTACCGTCGAACCTGGCTGTCACGTCTGACTGACTCCTATCAAACAGCCATCAACCCGATCTCCACGTATAGACGGATCCTTGTTGATAACAGCCCATTGGACGGTTTGAGCCACCCGCTGGAAGTTTCCAACTCCACCGGTTGAGTCGTCGATCGCCGCCATGCTCCGCTTTGTGTCATGTCCTTCCCCGGACATACCCATGCAAGCCTTGCACGGTGCGGAATATATCCATCGCACCTCCCATGATATTCTTGTATGAATCTGGCTCTAGATACCACTTGTTAAAGTGCACCACAACATCGCTTCACCGTCAGACATCTGATGCTAAAAATTATATTTGGTGATGGATGATCTGACGCTAAAGATAACTCAAAGATCATCTGACGCTAAATCATCATTTAGCGATTTATTGTCTGTCGCTATAGATATTGATATTTAACGTTGAACTGTCTGTCGCTAAAAATAAGTATACCGGTACTCTATCTGTCGCCAAAAATAAGTGAGCCCCACCACACCGCTGGCTAAAAAAAGAAAAATATAACGCACACCAACCCAAACAAGAAAAAAAAAAAAAACAGAACGCACAAGCCATGCTCCATATCCCTTCGGTAGCTCGGGTGCTCGGCGTCTCTCCCCAGAAGCCCGACGTGGCTCTCGCTCTCTCCCCTCGGTCTTCTTCTCCCTAGCGTGTGCTCTCTTCTCGCGCCTCCTCCGAAAGCGACAACGCTGGCTCCCTCCGCATCCTCCTCACCTGCGTAGGGCCCTGCTCAACCCCCCTCCCCCCCTCGGCTCCTTGCGGCAGGGCCACGCGCTCCGGGATGGGGCGACCGAGAGCATGCATGCATGCCGCCACCATGCCGCCATGGCTCGCCCCACCGCCGGCCGCTGCCTCCCCGTGCCCCAATTTGCTGGCCGTTGAAGGCAGCGCCGCCGCCGCCGATCGCAGCAGATGGCTCAACACCACACACTCGTCCCGGCCAGGATGCGGGCTCGATCCATGTCGCTCTCCATCCGATCTCGTCGCCCGCCGTTCTAGTTGCTCCTCCATCCCGCAAGCGGTCTGCAGAGATCTGATATGCATGTCCACGGTGAGCCGTCACGCCTCGGATGTGTGTACATATGTTCCTATGGATGAGTATTGTGTATGTATGGATGTTTAGGTGTTGTGTTTAGAAGATCTAGGGTTAGATTAGAGACTCTTTTCACATGTAAGCCATTATAAAAGATCGTAATTCCATCCGAAAAAATTCAGCGGTCTTCAACGCTACTTCAACTTTTACGTCGTTCTATGCCACTTCCGTTGCTTTGGGCTCCATCCATTTAAGCTGCAAGTGTGAAAAGAATCCCTGTTCAAATATGTTAATAATATTTTTTGATCTGAAACTAAATGAAAAAAATCATTATAGATCTCACGGATCTAGCCGTTTCATATAATTTTTCATTTTTTCATCTGCCTCAATAATATGATTTTTCTAAATTATATTAATCATATCAAATATGTTCCTATGGATGAGTATTGTAAAAGTTGAAGTATGATGGATGTTTAGGTGTTGTGTTTAGAAGATCTAGGGTTAGAGTTATGTGTGTATATATATATATATATATATATATATATATATATATGTTCCGATCTACGCTGGAAATTATGTGTTATTTGGCAATACAGTGTGATAATTTATAATAGTCACACTGCCATTCTCTAGAATTAGTAAATTGGCAATACAGTATGTTTCAAATCAACAGCTTAGATGTTTTCGTAATCGCAGACCATGTCGACTGTCGACCGAACAATATTGCTGAATTTAAATGAAAAAAATAGTGAATTAATGTTCAAAGTAATTGTCCCGAAACCTTTGTTATCTAAGTAATTGCATTCCAAGATTGGTCTTCTCTGTTCTTTCTCACAGTTCAGAGGTCACATGTAGTCATATGGTTGTCTTCTTGTCATTTGCAAACCAGAATTGTCTTCTTGACTTACAATCTATTGTTTTTTAGATGCACAAGATCCTATATTGTAATTGTCAATGGTTACTTTTACCTTCTGCTTTATGTTTTTCTCTCTCGTACTTAGACGATATGTGCTTTCTTAAGTGTCTTTTGGAATTAGACATTGTTTCCCAATAGCTAATTTGAGTATTGATGTCTGACAATGATGCAACTTAAAATCCGTAGACTACTCTTGCTGCTTCTTATTGCCAGCAAACTCAAGCAGTTAGGTTAGGTTCTAAATAGTGTCAATAATGTTTAATGATAGTACCTTGAAAAGTTAGTACTGTTGTTGCTAGGAGCTTCTAGTAGTTTTTATTATAAAATGAGTTCTTATTGGGAAAGCCTTTTGTATATCAGCGGGCTACATGCACCTTGGCTGATGGCTGATGCTCATGAATTTTCAGGAACCAGGAGGCCTACTAATCCTTCATCAACTTGTTCTAATGCTCATGAAAAGGGTGTCTTAAGCGATTCATTCTCATTGTGCTATGGCGGTATGGATATTGGTGGTGGTGCTATGGTGCTTGGTGGAGTGCCTGCTCCTTCTGACATGGTTTTTTCACATTCAGACCCTCTCCGCAGGTAATGTATGGTTTCCTATATGATAACCTATCCTTATTCTTTTTGTGGTACATATTTTTATTAGCTAATCTTAAATTGGCAACAGTCCATATTACAACATTGAGTTAAAGGAAATACATGTTGCTGGAAAGGCACTGCGGGTAGATTCAAGGATCTTCGATAGCAAGCATGGGACTGTTTTGGATAGTGGGACCACATATGCTTATTTGCCAGAGCAAGCTTTCGTGGCTTTTAGAGATGCTGTAAGCTATTTACACATCCATACCTTTTCTGTTGGATCTTTGTTCTATTGTAGTTATTTTTCCTTCATGTGACATCAATTTGCTTGGAGTTCAGTTTTTGCAATGTACCATGTAAAAAAGGCAGTCTAACTTCAGAAGCTATCAATAGTATTTGTGGCTAAAACTGCACCAGTGCCATTTTTTTTAACTTTTCCGCCTTGCATAAAAGAAGTTAAACATCTTAATGACACCTAGATAATTTTACACTTCCCTAGATAGAATCAAACTTCTACTTTAGCACAACCTGCTTTTTCTCCTTGACGCCTTTTCATGTCCATTAGCTAATAATTGTATCCCTCCTTTTTCTCTTATTCTCTTGGCTGTTGCTCTACAAACGAACTTCTGGATTACAAGGACACTGTTGACTGGTGCACCTACAATTCCTTTTTGTTTTGTTTGGTTTTGCATGTCATATCCCCTATTAATATATCTAATATTGATGCCCTGTACTATATATATATATATATATATATATATATATATATATATATATATATATATACTTTCTTTTCCCTTTTCATTGGTGGCTCATGGTGGGTTTTAACTCTTGCCTACCCCAAGTCATAATTTGCTAGGGACTAAAAGGCTTTGTTGTTGTTGGTATTTGGAAATGGACAGAAGCTCTCACTTACACCTGAAAATTATTTATTTTGGGTAGGAGAAATTGTGAACTAAAATGATTTAGGATATAGAAATCTCCCTCCCTCCATAATGGTGAAGAGAAACACGAGTCTGTTGTTAGTTGTTACTATGTGCTATGAGGTCTACAGATTCTTTTGCTTGTTCTTTTTGTTGCTATGAGGTCTATTTATTTAAATATGTTTCCTTGGCTATAACAATTGTCTGAATGAAAGGTTCTTGATTTTCTTGATTCATTCAAAGGCTGTAGTAAAAATAGTCTGTTTCTATTACAAGATCATGACAACAGTTTATTATTTTATTCATTTAGAAACTTAGCCATTTTGAGTAGCTAAAGTAATGACCTTAATGGCAGGCATCATTGTTCGTAATACACTTGTGACCTATGACCGTCACAATGAAAAGATTGGCTTTTGGAAAACTAACTGCTCCTGCCCCTAGTAGCTTGCCAGGTTTGTGCCTAATTATTTTAATTTCTATTAATTTCACATGTATTATATGATGAATGACAAAATATGGATATTTGTTATACTTCACTTGTAACTATCAGTTAGGGATCAATTGTTTTGATCTGCTTTGTTGGTGGCTATTTTGGTAGTTATGAATATGAAGCTTGATAGGGCTGAAGTTTTTATATGAAATGAGGCAAACAATCGATCTGCCTCTCTTGAAGGTCCTTTAAGCCGCAATTCAACCCATGCTTTACTCATTTTTTTGTTTACCTACTTAGTTCTTTGAGTTTGATGGTACATTCACCAGTCTTTATGGCTTGCACAATAATCTGGTCCACATTTCATATGCCTATAGTAATTTTGTTAATAACCAGGCCGATTACTGTAAGCTAAAGCAATAAGTAAATATTTTCTTAATTGGTGTTGGTTATTTTTTTTTGTCAACAATAGCACACTTTATTTTTATGTAGTTTAAATAAATATTATTGTTCTGGATAGGAGCAATGGAAAAACACATAAAGTCAAATGATCACGCTACCTAAGAGGGCAACATAAACCCACCCAACACTTGAGGAGTACAAACAGTAGGGTATGAGCATTATGCCTTTAAACATTTTTCTGGAAATAAGAGAATTAAAATTGGAAGAAAAATGGAATACAACCTCAGAAAGTTGAAATCTCTAAATAAACAAGCTCAGGAAAGAAAAAATTCCTACCACACATGAGACTTTGACTTCTTGACAAATATCCACCAAACCCACAGAAGAAGGGTTGTAAACTCTCCTGCTAGATTGTGGAGAAGAGGCAAGAAGGGTTCTAAACTCTCAATGCTAGATTGCGGAGAAGAGGCAAAAGAGTAGCTTCAGCCAAGACCAAACAAAACAGTGCTATAAATAAAGTTCTCTTAAAACGCCAGCCACTGGTTGCGAGCGTTAACCTAGAAAACTAACTTGCACAGAAAAGTAAATTATTCAGTATCTTCTCCTGCAGAGCAGGAAAGAGATGGAATAACAACTCTATAATAAAATACTTACGGATGGTTTCTTTGTGATTACTCATGATGTCAGTTATTACACAGTTTCTAGTATATGTCTTAAATGCTCACTTGAATTAATGAATGTACAGTTCAAACCTTCATATAGAAACTTTCCTCCTAGTAAACCTACACAGTTTCTTTAGCACCCTCAGTGATCTCTATCTTCCACCTCAGCCACCAGCCGTGTGGCTTCTGTCACTGTCAGGATGGCTGCCAATGCCACGCTCTTCTCGCAACAGAGTGAACTGTCAGCCTGCTGTTAGTATGTTACCTGCCTTGGTAATGGCATTCCTGTCTCAACTGCCATTGTCCTTGTCACTCACTCCCAGTTTTAGCAACAAGGAATAGGTGGCCATAGCTGTCCACATAATCAGTATATGTTTTTCACCTGTTGATTAAACCTTGAGCAGTTCGATATGTGCTTTAGGTGTAGTGCCTTAATCTTCACTTGTAAGAATTCTCTCTGGACAGTTCCTAGAGATTGTTAGTTATGGTAGGATTACATCTGCATGTAAATTGTTTTTTTTCTTCTCTGTGTACCTCCCATTTCATGTTTTGCTCATTTTCAATAGAGGTTCAATACAATTTATGATCCAAACCTAAATCAAGGCAAATGCTGAATGAGCATTACTGTACTGTTTTTTCATTTGTGGTGCCTCCTTTGCCATACTGCTGATCCAGATTTGTGAGTGTTGCCTCTTGAACCCAACACAGTGCCCTTCATTTCAGGTTTAAGTAGGAAATTAATATGTTGATCACTTGCCTCAAGGAATTTCAGGTTTTAGTAAGAAGCAGTTGCTGTAATTTTAAGGACTAGTACTGCCATTACTCAAGCTACTATTATTATGTGGTAGGACTAAACTGGGAAATTAATATATTGATCACTCTATGTTTGGTTATTACTTAATGCTATTACATAATGCTGAGTACTGGTTGTTGCTTGCAATATGATCACTATTTGTTTGGTCACCGGTTGCCAGAATGATTTGCCTGAACTGAAACTGAAGATTGCTATTATCTTCTATTTTCTGCTCATTTCTTGGCTGCTAATATCTTCATTTGTTTGCTTGAACCTGGAGTGTACTTGACTGTTTCAGTTCAAGTACTTCACTAGTACATGGGACCCCTTTTAACATATGTTCAGTTTGATTTTAATGTTTGTTACCCTTGCCTCTGTAGGAAACATGCTAACCTTTATGGTTGGTTCAAAGCAAGCATTTGAAGTATCCCTAGCAGATGTTGCACAAACCCAGATGCAAGGAAAAACAGATGTTCTCTTAGAGTTTCATGTTGATGATACTACTGGAGCCAATGAGGTTTGTAGTGGATAGTAGTTGTAGTGGATCCACTCATATTTTCTGCATTGCCAATGAGGTGTTAGTCGATCTTATTTGGATACATGTAGCTGATACTGTAGACTTATCATTGATGAATCATTGATTCATGTTTGTAATGGCTGACCATATATGTATGTCTTAGTGACTGTTTGGACTTCGTCATGAATGAATCTATTTGTATGAGAAACGTGCACAATGATGTTACTTTTGTATTAATTTGCAACCAAATGGTCTTTTTTTAAATGCATTTAAATAATCTCGTCAAACCATCTGTCGCTAAAAACATTTGTAACTTTAAATTGTCTATCGCTATAGAGTACTGGGAGGCAATCTGTCGCTAAAGAGTAACAGTAGACTATCTGTCGCTAAAAAAATTCAGGGGAACGGACTGTCTGACGCTAAAAGTACTATCTGACGCTAAAGATGTTTAGCGACAGGACTTATAGCGTCTGTAGAAGTTTGTCGCTATAACTTTTTAGCGTCAGACTGTCTGTCGCTGTAGCCGCTTTTAGCGTCAGACCGTCCATCGCTAAACTTGGTGTTGTGGTGTAGTGCACGGCTAGAGCCAAACCCAAACGAGAACGACACCGAGGCATGATGTTTTTTTTAACGAGGTTCAGCGATGTGCCTAATCCTCGGGGCATGACTACGGGCACTCTTCCCCATAAAACAGCAGCTGCACCGGTATCCGGGCGATCCCGCGGCCTTGCTGCCGCCCAAACTAGCCGCCAAAGTCATCTCTTGGTTACAACAAGGGTGGCCTCATATTTATAGCCCCCTGGGACATAGAGTTCGACTCTAATTTAACCCTTAATACAACTCAAGTCGTAGAGTAACTAAACTGCACACATATTTGACACATATCTAACATAAAGGATGACCCTCGTCCTATTCACTAGCAAACAATGCAGCAATTGGCTCTGACGCCTGCTCAAAGCTCTTCAACTCAGCAACAAGCTCGTTTACTTGCTCGGAAAGATTTCGAGTGGTTTCCTCGGAGGCTTTCAGCTTCAAATTCTGGACAACGGTCTAATACACGGTTATTCAGATAACTACGCTATTGGACAGCTAAATCTTCGTTAAGAAATTATTACCTGCAAGAAGGGCATCAAATTCAGATTGCTTCCATACAACCTCGGACCAAGAATCCTTGATCCGAGTAATCTCCGCATCAGATGGTTGCGGCGGATGACTGGAGGACGCTACTACGGTGTCCAGACTACGCACGTATTCAGAGCACCGGCCCAGCCCAACCTCGGACCAAGAATCCTTGATCCGAGTAATCTCCGCATCAAAGAGCACCGGCCCAGCCCAACTCCCTCCGCTTCCGGCTCAGGACCAGCACACAGCGTCACGTGCGCAGCACACGGGCGTGAAAGCACCGCGCCTGCCGCACTCATGCGCAGAGCGCCGTGGTAGCCGCTGCCAGCCCAGACCCACCGGTCAGCCAGACCCGTCCCCACTCGCGTGCACTCCACGCACAGAGAGAGGGTGCCGTCTGCCGGGCCCAGGAGCCAGCCGCCGCAGAGTTTGCCCTCTCCGTTTCCATCCCATCGCTACTCCGTCAAAACAGCGTCGCCTTCTCTCTGTGCGTCGGACGAGCAGCCCACCTGACGTCGATTTCGGAGCGGGCCTGGCGGCTTGGGCTTTGTGCGTCGGAGCAGGCCACGAGAGAAGGTGGGGTTCGGCTGGGCTGTTGGGGAGGCCAAGGCTGTCTGGGCCGAGGGCGCAGGTGGGCTGCTCGTGCGCAAGCTGGACCAAATTCGGTTCGAACCGAATTTAGAATATGGCCGAATAAAATGTAGAAAAGTAGAAATCGGTCGAATAAAGCCTAAACCGAATTCGATCCGATTTCGAATTTAGTATTCCGCATTTCGAATTCGAATTTAGTATTTTGTATTTTGTCCGAAAATACGAATTCGCTCGAGTCAAATATAGAAAACGATACGGTTCGGTTCGGGATATTTCCTTTCCGTTTTCATCCTTACTTGGGCCCTCGCAGGTAGCCCAAACGCAGCTGCTGATTTTCATCACACTCAGATCAAGGATAATCGTACAAACAAAATAACAAGTCATAAATGCCTTGTGTTTGGTTGTTTGATATCGTGGCAGCAATAATCTCCTCCAACTCGCCTGGGGCACCATGCTCGTTGCAACCGCCAGGCTTTTCTCCTCGTCCTGGTCTGGGTGAGCGTTTGCTAGTTCCCTCATCTTCCCTGGTGCGCTTTCGAGTAGGAGCTGACCCCGAAATAGATGAGTCGGAACTACCATCCCCCCACTCTACAGACACTGTATCTGACTCTTCATCGAGGAGTATGGGTGGTGGATCTATAAAATTAAGTCCACGATCCTGAAGCAATCAGCATGACAGATTTAGGATGTTTACTCGGAAATTAAGACCTTTATTATATGATTACTGAGCTTTGAGCATTCTCTCAAGACGTACCACAAAGGGCTATTTTGCATGTATTCATTGTGACAGCCATCCTCTTTCATATCGCCTAAGGGAGCAAAATTGGGTATTTGGGGCACTTCCGTTTCGTTCCAAAGGAACATCATTTGTAGAGAAACAATGAGTTTGCTAGACTTCATGAAAGCAATGACCCACTAGGTAAATTCTCCGAGGAAGAGGTCATTGCTAAGCCTGGTTAAAGATGTTAGACCCGGGAAGCCACAAGGAACGGGAAAAAGGAAGCATTCCAACTTGGAAGGGGGTCATGTGCAAATTTGGAGCCGCATGGTTAATTTTGGAAGTTACCATATTGGAAAAAGTTGAAGCTGAAACATAATGTTGATGTCATGCACATTGAGAAAAACATATGTGAAAACCTAACTGAGACAATTCTCAATATAAATGGGAAGACAAAAGACACGCTCAAAGCTAGGCTTGATTTGAAAGATTTGGGAATTAAAAAGAAGCTGCAATTTAGAGACGATGGAGATTCAAGTGAGAAGATCCCGGCTTTCCATCTCGCTGTCGTTGCAGGTCGAGTATGCCGCGCCGAAAGGTGAGCTGGCGGGTGCTAGACGCCATCGGCCGGCATGGCAAGACGCCGTGTGGGGCTCGCCAGCGTCTGCTATAAAACCGGCAGGTCCCCCTACAGAGGGATACACACAGACACAGCACTCTCTCACTCGCCTCATGTTCCTTGCCTTTTGTTTGTCTTTGCAGGACAGAGACATGAGCTTTGGGAGAGGCGGAGGAGATGGCGGCTAGGGAGAGCGGCGGGATGGTGCCGGTGCGCTGCGATGGAAGGATTGGGGTCGTGGCCTCCATCGCCATGAACCTCGCGTGGCTCGCGATGTTCATTCACCGGCGCTACTTCAGCGGCGGCGGCCGATCCGACGGCAGCAACGGCGGCGGCAGGGAGGTCACCACGGTGGAGCTGTCCAAAGGCAAGCCACCGGTCACTTCGGACTCCATCGTTAACCTCGACCATGGAGTGATCTGATCCATTACTCGATCTCGTTACCTTCTGTTTTTGTTTATTTGTATTTGTATTGGTATCTTCCACTACCCATCCATCAATTGCCCGTGTGCCCGAGCATCCGTCGTCGTCCGGAGCTACAGTCCAAGCGGACGAACAGCGTTGCTGTTGTTATTGTATTTCAAAGCAACAATGTTGTTCGTCCGTTTGGACACTGGTTGATGACCGGTGACTGTCCAAACAGACGACCATTGACTTTGACATGCTAAAATTATACAGATAATAGTGTCATATCATGTTTGTATTTTAGACCAGTGTCAAAGTCCATAGATGGTCTAAAATACCATGGTTTGACATCCAACAACGTTGTTCGTCCATTTGGACTGCGGCTCAGATGGTGACGGATGCCCGGGCACAAGGGGGATCGATGGGCGGACAGTGGGAGATACTAATACGAATACGAATAAACAAAAACAGAAGGTAACGAGATCGAGTGATGGATCGGATCACTCACTGGTCGAGGTTGACGATGGAGTCTGAAGTGACCGATGGCTTGCCTTTGGACGTCTCCACCGTGGTGACCTCCCCGCCGCCGCCGTTGTTGCCATCGGATCGACTGCTGCCGCCGAAGTAGCGCCGGCGGATGAACATCGCAAGCCACGCAATGTTCATGGTTATGGAGGCCACGACCCAATCCTTCCAACGCAGCGCACCGCCGCCATCCCGCCACTCTGCCAAGCCACCATCTCCTCCGCCTCTCCCAAAGCTACCATCTCTGCCATGCAGAGACAGAAACAAAAGGCAAGTAACGCGAGGCGAGTGAGAGCGTTGTGCCTGTGTGTATCCCTTTGAGGGGGACCTGTCGATTTTATAGTAGACGTGGGCGAGCCCCGCACGGCATCTTGCCACGTCGGCCGGTGGAATCTAGCGCCCACCAGCTCACCTTTCGGCGTGGCGCGATCGACAAGCAACAACAGCGAGAAGGAAAGCCGAGATCCCCACGTAACAGCGGACGTGGATGCGTGTGGTGGAGGCCTCTGGGTTGTTAGGTCGACGGCGTGGAGCAGCGCGGAAGGACGTGGCCTGGATCACGCGCACTGGGGGAAGGATGCGAAGGGCGGCGCGCGTGAGGGTTTATGGATGCATGTTAATGTGAGTGTGGTGTGATCCAAATGAGGGTTTTTTTGGTGGCCCTAAAAGGAAGGACGTGGCCTAGAACGTCATCTTGCTACGCGGCCGGTGGCATCTAGCGCCCGCCAGCTCACCTTTTGACGTGGCGTGCTCGACCTGCAATGTCAGCGAGATGGAAAGCCAGGATCTTCTCACATGTCAGCGAGACGGCACCTGGCGGTGTTTGGGCGTCGTCAGCGGCAACGACTCGTGTGGCGCCAGTGTCGACAGCCCGGGTAGCTGCTGAAGCCCCCAAGATCACAGTTACACCCCCTGTGGTAACTGCGTAGGCGGTCACCGCAGTCCCCGAGACCACACGGACGACTCCGACGGTGGCGGTGGAGACGCCGAGCGGTTCGGGTGGTGGGCCGACGGGTAGCAGGCAGGGGTGCCGGTTCTCAGCTGCGCATTGGGAGTCGCAATTATAAGTACCTTGTTTACTTGCTATGTTGCTTCGGTACGATAGTTTGCTTCTTTAACGTATTGTTGCTTGTTGAAGCGCGGAGTCGACGAAGGAACTACAGTCGCAGACAAGAGCAGATCCAGTTGCCCTTGCCTTGGAAGAATCAATAGCCGAGGAGAATAAGAGTTTGCAAACGTCGGTGAATGACCTCTAGGTGTGCCTGCTCTGAGAGCGCCACCACAGGAAGGACTTGGAGGTGAAGGTTCTGGCGTTGGAGAAGGAGCGTCAGCAAATGGAGGCTGAGGGCCAGTCATTGGCCGAGCAGCTTGGCCATAGCGATGATCGGGAAAAAGGTTTCGCTCTGAATTTTGCTTTGCTGTTATTTAGTGCTGTGACATGTCTATCTGTTGTGCGCAGGATTGGAGATGGAGCTTGGCCTGTCCCAGGAACCCATCAGCCAGCTTCTAGAGGCGAAGGAGAAAGCAGAGGAGAGGGCTGAGAAGGCCATTGAAGACCTTTGCTGTGAGTGTTTTTTCATACAGTTTTAACTTGTGCGGCCTTAGGCTTGCGTTTAACATATAGCTATGTCGTTTGCAGAGTATCGACATCAGTCTTAAGCGCAATTCCAAGTGCTCGTGGAGTAGGTAAAGACTCAAGATGATAAGCTAGAGACGATGATCGCGGGGATCCAGCCCATGCTGGACTACATCGGTCTAGAGTAGACCGAGGGAGGACGACTGCCCGAAGACAGGCTGCACTGATCAGTCGTGGATTGTTGCTAGACGGCGTGGACAGACTTCAAGGAGTTCATGTGTAGAGCGACCCATGGAGCCATCGTCCATGCACTCACACAACTGAAGTCTCATTATCCTTCGGTGGATCTCTAGCGGGTGTCGACCGGATATGCGCAGGGCACGAACGCAAATAAGATCACCAAGCTGGAGGACGACGTAGAGGAGCCAGCAAAGAGGTTGGCTGAAGATGTCGAGTTGTTTGGTGAGTGGGAGAGCAGTGCTTGGTAAAGTTTTTTGAAAAAACTCCTATTGAATATCTGGCGACGTTTGTTGAACACTTGCAATTACGATATGTTTGTGTTTATATTTGATATAAATCGTCCGAACAGAAGTGTATAGCTGAGTCCCCAGCCTTAGCTAGCCTGTTATCTGTAATGCGCGGCACGGGGACCATGTGTGTGTGGGAAAAAATAGGGCATCAATGAGGAACTGCTGTTGACCACCCATGACGCAGAGGGTGGATGCTCATGCATGTGCAGAGAGAGGTTGGAGACAGGGTCGTCTCTAGAGGCGTCCGAACGTCAACATGTTTGTTTGGGTATTTGCGTGGAACTTAGGTGGTGTATCGTCTTTAATACATTGAGCGCAGAATTAGAAGCACTCAGCATGGAGAGAACAATATGGAGAGACGTCAGTGTAAAAAACTTTATTGAATACTCAAATATTAAAGGTACATATCTTTTGGAGTGAATGCTTCAAGGGTAGAAATGTCAAAGTAGGTCGATGTGCCAAGAATTTAGGACATCTCTCTCGTCCATGTCGCATAGTCTATAGGAACCTAGTCGGGTGACCGCGTTGATGATGAAGGGGCCTACCCAAGGTGAGGAGAGCTTGTGCTAAATCTTCGACCACGAAGAATCAGTCGTTGACATTGCGGTTGTAGTATTTGCGCAGGTCAAGGTATTTTGCCATCCAAACATAGGTGACTAGACGTTCCTCTTCTAGGATGTGTAGTTCAATGAGCTGAGCCTGGTTGGAGTTCTCCTCATTATAGTTCTCCACCCTAGGAGCTCGGAAGGCAACGTCAACAGGCAGTATGGCCTCAGAGCTGAAAACCATAAAGTACGGGGAGACGTCGGTGTTACGACTAGGTTGGGTCCTTAGTCCCTAGACCATGGTTGGTAGTTCCTTGAGCCATTTTCTCGGGTGCTTCTGTTCCTTCTCATAGAGTTGTTTCTTTAATGCATCTAGGATCATGCCATTGGCGTGCTCGACTTGGCCGTTGGCCCTTGGGTGTGCCATGGAGACATACTTGACTGAGATGCATCTTTTGTCACAGAAATCCTAGAAGTGACTGCCGATGAACGTGGACCCAAGGTCGGTGATGATGCTGTTCGGTAGATCAAACCCGTGGATGATGTCGTCAAGCAGCTCGGCTGCTTTCTTTGCTGTAGCCTGGACTAGGGGTTTGTATTCGATCTACTTGGAGAATTTGTCAATGCAGACATAGACCAAGTGGAAGCCTCCCAGCGCGGACTTGAATGGTCCAATCATATCTAGTCCCCAGTGTGCAAAGGGCCACGACACGGGGATCGTTTGCAAGACCTGAGCCAGGACGTGGATTTGTTTGGCAAAGAACTGGCATTTCTCACATCGGCGAACGAGGACTTCAGCATCGGCCACGGCAGAAGGCCAATAGAAGCCAGCTCTGAAAGCCTTTTTGATTAGTGTTCTAGAGGCTGTGTGGTTGTCGCAGGTGCCGGCGTGGATCTCGTTAAGTATCTTCTCACCATCTTCCACGGAGACACACTTCTGTAGTAGCTCGCCTTTGGTGTTTTGGCAATACAACTTCCCATCAACGAGGACGTAGTGCTTACTACAGTAGGTAAGGTGTTCTCTCTCTGTATTGTCAGCTGGGACGTCTATAGTAGTTACATACCTGATGAAAGGTTGTCTCCAATCGCTGCTAGGACCAAGGACCGCTGCGACTATCTGCTCAGCAGGTGGTTTTTCTTCAATGGCTTCTTGTTCTTGGTTGATGGAAGGAGCCACAAGGTCCTAGACGAACACTCTGACTAGAACGTTGGCCCGGGTTGATCCTATCTTTGACAGCTCATCAGTTGCTTGATTATTGATTGGTGGTATTCGGCCATAGAACTTGTCTTCTAACTTTCTTATCGCGCACACCCATCTTCTTGTTGGTGCAATTCCAATCTTTGTTGAGCTGATTGATCATGAGAACTTGTCTTCTTTAAACTTTCTTATCATGAAAGTGTCGCACGCGATGCTTGGGAATTATAGGCCCATCTTCTTGTCCCTGTTGGTAAGGTGCAATATATGCCTACCTTTGTTGAGTTGATTGATCCATAGAGTACATGGTCCAATGTCTCGTGGTGGTCGACCAGACAGAGTTCATATCCGTGCACTTTCTCGATGAAATGAAGTAGATTGGGGGGCCTAAAATTGATGGTATAGATGCTGGACTCTACCGCCCATTTGATGATGCGCTAGCTTCCTTATTCCGAGAGAATGTCACCGCTCACTCCGTGACTACCGCTATGTGGTAGGCATCAAAGTAGGTCGTTCTAGGATGTGACAAGAATGGCGTGTAGATTAAGTGGATAGTGAGTCTCATCCTTTTGGACTTTGTATGTGTGGCTAGCCTCTTCTCGCTCAACGAGGTCATTGATAGATTAGTAAGGTCTCATCCTTTTGGG